CAAAATAAGTTCCACAGAATTACGCTGTTGGAGGAAGACCAGTTTAGTGTAACATTCATTACAAGCCAGTTTCTCTGTTCCTCTCTTCTCCTGTTCTCTTTCATGTGGCAAGTGTACTTACTTTCAGGTCACTCTTTTCAAGAAAGATAAAGAAATACGTTTTCATGGAGACATGGAATCAGAGCTCAAGTGATTTCACTTTGTTAGGGTTGTTTCCACAAAACCGAACTGGACTACTGCTGTTGCTGCTCGTCATCTTTGTCTTCTCTCTGGCCTTGTTTGGCAACTCAGCAATGATCCACCTCATTCGTGTAGATCCCAGGCTCCACACCCCTATGTACTTTCTCCTCAGCCAGCTCTCTCTTATGGACTTGATGTACATTTCTACCACTGTTCCCAAGATGGCATTTAACTTCCTATCTGGCCAGAAAAACATCTCTTTCCTGGGCTGTGGAGTGCAATCCTTTTTCTTCCTGACCATGGCAGGTTCTGAGGGCTTGCTCCTGGCCTCCATGGCCTATGACCGTTTTGTGGCTATCTGCTACCCACTTCATTACCCTATTCGCATGAACAAGATAATGTGTCTGAAGATGATCATAGGATCCTGGATATTGGGCTCAATCAACTCTTTGGCACATACTGTCTATGCCCTTCATATTCCTTATTGCCATTCTAGGTCCATCAACCATTTCTTCTGTGATGTCCCAGCCATGTTGCCTCTGGCCTGTATGGACACCTGGGTTTATGAGTACATGGTGTTTGTGAGCACAAGCCTGTTTCTCCTAGTTCCTTTCCTTGGCATCACAGCTTCCTATGGACGGGTCCTTTTTGCTGTCTTCCATATGCGCTCAAAGGAGGGAAAGAAAAAGGCTTTCACCACATGTTCAACTCACTTAACTGTGGTGACATTTTACTATGCGCCTTTTGTCTACACCTATCTTCGACCTAGGAGTCTCCGTTCCCCCACTGAAGATAAGATTCTGGCTGTCTTCTACACTATCCTCACCCCCATGCTCAACCCCATCATCTATAGCCTGAGGAATAAGGAGGTGCTGGGAGCCATGACAAGAGTCCTTGGAACATTCTCTTCCAGGAAACCTTGATGGTTCCCTCTCTACTCCTCTTTCAGCTCCCCTGGGGAATGTCATAGAGCATTGCTGTCCATTGGAAATGTAATGTGTGCCACACACATGTCATAACTTTCTGATGATTGATTACTAATTAATATTAAATAAGATGTTCATGATTAAAAACTAGTATAATTATTCACATGTTTAACTTATAACAGTACAATCAATGATATTAATACCATTTTAGACAATAAATTATTATATATCATAGTATGATACATTATACCTTATGAATATACAAATATTATTGTGATAATCTACTTATGCTGATATTTACATGTTTCTACAAAATTAACATGAATTATTGCTTTGATCACATATTTTGCTTTCATTCTTTTCGTTATTAAAAGCCTGCGTATACTGAGTATTTACAGTGTATTCCAGTTTGGACATTGCCCATTCAAGTGAGCAATACTCACATGGAGCCTGGGACTACTATGTGGGAAAACAGAGAAATTTCAAAGTCATGGAATGTTTTAGCAACACCAACCACAACAAAGTACTACCTCATCCAAGGTAGAATGGTTGTTACAAAAAAGACAATGGTTATCAAATGCTTTTGTCAGAGGAAACATGGGGAGCTATTATACAGAATTGGTTGAAGTGTAAATTAACACAGTTCTTAAGTAAGAGCATGTTTCACCAATAACATAAAAATAGAGAAATTATGGGTTATATCAATTCCCCTACAAGGTCAAATTGAAAGAAAATAAAGCCAAGTGTGTAAGAGGAACCTACTCATACATGACAGCATTTTCTAAAGTGTTGTTGTGTTAGCCAAATACGTATGGGTATGCTATGCTGCATTTGGATAAATATAGTTAAACATAATGCCTCATATATTTCAGAAGAGAGGATATTGCAATCATTCTTCCCAAAGAAGTTAAAAGTTTCAAATATAAATTGGCTAATCACCTTGATTTCATCAATATACAATGCTTACATGTTTGAAATATGACATTGTACCTCATAAGTATAATTATTTTTCAGCTGAAACATTCATCATATATATGTAATACTTTGTAATGTGTCAGTGGTCTACTAAATATTGATGGGATGAGAAGCAATGAAATATAAATGCATGACTTTTTTATTTTGGAGAGTTCTCATTTGTTCCTTTTGCTTTTAGCATGGGTCTATGAACTACAATTTATACACCTTGGCCATCTTAGCCTAATGTCTCTATATAAGATCATTGTAGAGAGGCTTACTTGGCCTAGAATTTTTTTCATTTCCATTAAACATGGAAATAAAATGATGGCAAAAGTATAACAGATTTATTTGCATTTTAATTTAAGTTAAACTTGTTTTGTTCATTATGGGTAATCTTTTTGAAATATGTCTATATTCAGTTTGTATGCATTTTATTGAAGATTTTACAAAGTTGTTTGTCAGGCTATTGGCATATATTTTTCTTTGTTTTTTGTTGTTTTTTTTTTTTTTGTCTTGTTTTGGGAGCAGAGTAATATTAGCATTTTATAAAAATGGGTTCCTAGTAATGGGAACAGGGACTGTCTCTGACATGAACTCAGTGGCTGGCTCTTTGATCACTTCCCCCTGTGGGGGCGGCCTGCAGCCTTACCAGGCCACAGAGGAAGACAATGTAGCCAGCCCTGATGAGACCTGATAGGATAGGGTCAGATGGAAGGGGAGGAGGACCTTCCCTATCAGCGGACTGGGGGAGGGGCAAGGGTGGAAAAGAGGGAGAGAGGTTGAGATTGGGATGAAACAAGGAAGGGGGCTACAGTTGGGATACAAAGTGAATAAAATGTAATTAATAAAAAATTAAAAAAAATTATATAAAAAGATGTTTAAAATGCTCCTTTTGTTCTTTGTGTGTGTGTAATTTAAAAAGGATTTGACTTGAGATCTTCAGAGAAAGTCTGGTAGAATTATGTTGTTCATCTATCTGGTCTTGGACTTGTTTTTAGGTGGGAGGCTTTTTATTATGTTTGAATCTCCTCATTTACTCTATAGTTCTGTTTAAACTGTTGATCTTAGTTTAACCTTGGTGGATTGAATGTTTCTAGAAATTTATCCATTTCTTTTATATTTTTCAACTTAACAGGGTATAGGTTAGGCAAATATTTCTTTATAGAATATCACATTGCCACGGTGCATTTTGTGATACTTCCCAGTCCATTAGTGATTCTGTTAATTTCAGCAATATCTCTCTCTCTCTCTCTCTCTTTTTCTTTTGGTCAACCAGGCTAAAACTCTGTATTTATCTTGAGATGCAGGGATGCTTTGACATTCCCAAATCAACTCAAATGATAAATCACATAAATAGACCTAAAAGCATGATCATTTCAAAAAATGCAGAAAGACTAGTAAATTGAAGGATAGTCAGTTCCTGCTCACCAATTGATATAATTAGTATTTTAAAGTGACTAAATGTATTTACAGATTCAGTAATATCCCAATCAAAGTTTGTATCTCTTTCTTCACAGGTTTATAGCTGTCCCCAAGAAAACTGTTATTTTGATTAGGTTTCCCTTATTAGTCACTGGTGATTTTTCTTTTGAAGTTTTACTACCATTTCTTTTTGTTTTGTGTTTTTACAGTTTTAACTATAATATTCTCTGAGGTGTTTCTTTTTTTCATATCTATTTGATGTCCCAATGTTCCATGTGCTTCCTCTTCCCTGTGTGGATATGCTTTCCTCAATTTTGGGGAAGTTTTCTTCTATGAACACCATAATATCTGACCTGTGCCATTGACCTGGGATTTTTAGGCTCCAAGTGGGGTCTGTATTAGGGGGAGCAGAGGCTTTCTCTGGCATGAACTCAATGGCAGTTTCTCTGATCACCTCCCCTTGGGGGTTGCAACCTTTCCAGGCCACAGAGGATGATATTGTAATCAGTCCTGATGAGACATGATAGGCTAGGGTCAGAAAGAAAGGGAGGAGGACCTCCCCTATCAGTGGACTAGTGGACATAGGAGAAGAGGGAGGGACAGTGGGATTGGGAGGAGACAAGGGAGGGGGCCATAGCTGGAATACAGTTGAATAAATTGTAATAGATGGTAATAATAAAAAATTAAAAAAATTCCTCTACTTTATCATCAGGTCCGGATATTCCATCTTTTGCCTGAGTCATTCTATCATTAAGGCTTTCCCTTTACTTTTCTAATTGTGCTATTGAATTTTCATCTCTTTCTTCATCTCAGTTCAGGTTGTCCTTAGCATTTCTACCTCTCTATTGAGTTCACTTTTCAAATCCTTTTACCTTCTTATTTGGCCATAAAGTCATTTTTTTTTTGGTTTTATAATAGTTATTTTTCTGTTGATAGCATAAAATATGATCAACGTAACTTATGGAATAAAGAGTTTATTTTGGGTTATAGTTGCAGAGCACAGCAATAGAAGTGAACTGCTGTGAGATCATATCTTGAACTTTAGACAGGAAACAGAAAACATACAAAGACAGACAGAGAGGGTAGAGAGAGGAGAACTGGAAGTGGCTTGAGTCTTTTTATTTGATCTTTTTTCTGTTTTATTTATTTTTAGTTTATTTTATGTATGTGTGTATGTATGTATGTATGTATGCATTACAATTTATTCACTTTGTATCCTGGCTGTAGCCCTCTCTCTCATTTCCTCCCAGCCTCATCCTCTCTCCCTCTTCTCCTCCCATGCCCCTCCCCTAGTCCACTGATAGAGGAGGTCCTCCTCCCCTTCTATCTGACCCTAGCCTATCAGGTCTCATCAGGGCTGGTATCATCTTTCTCAGTGACTTGATAAGGCTGCTCCCCTCTCAGGAGGAGGTGAACAAATAGCCAGCCACTGGGTTCCTGTCAGTGACAGCCACTGCCCCCCTTACTAGGGAACCCACTTTGACACTGAGCAGGGGGTCTAGATCCTCTTCATGCATGGCCCTTGGTTGGAGTACTGGTCTTGAGCTGGATAGTTGTAATCAAACATCTACAGGTTTTATCTTATTGGGACTGTTTCCCCCATCAAAAACAGGCCTGTTCCTCTTCATTCTGATTGTTCTCATCTTCCTGACAGCTTGGATTGGCAACCTGTCCATGATCCTCCTTATTCTCCTGGATTACCATCTCCACACACCCATGTATTTTTTACTTAGTCAGCTTTCTCTCATTGACTTAAATTACATTTCTACCATTGTCCCTAAAATGGTGTCTGACTTTATGTTGGGAAATAAGTACATCTCCTTCATTGGCTGTGGGTTTCAGACCTTCCTTTTCTTGACTTTTGGGGGTGCTGAAACCCTTTTGCTGGCGTCTGTGGCCTATGATCGTTATGTGGCTATTTGCTATCCTCTCCACTATGCCTCACGTATGAATAACAGAGCCTGTGCACTGATGATAACTGGATCTTGGGTGCTGGGTTCCATTAATTCCTGTGCTCACACTGGGTATGCTCTCCACATTCCTTACTGCCGGTCCAGAGTCATCAACCATTTCTTCTGTGATGTCCCTGCCATGTTGATTCTAACCTGCATGGACACATGGGTCTGTGAGTATACAGTATTTGTGAGCACAATACTCTTCCTAGTGTTTCCATTCATCGGCATAGTGTGCTCTTACGGCCGTGTTTTTCTTGTGTCTACCGCAGGCATCCTGGGGCAGGGAAGAAGAGGGCCTGTTCTACCTGTGGCACCCACCCCACTGTAGTAACTTTCTGCTATCCATCGTTTGCTTACACCTATCTACGCCCAAGATCCCTCTGATCTCCAGCAGAGGACAAGATTCTTGCAGTCTTCTACACCGTCCTCACACCAATGCTCAACCCTATCATTCAGCCTGAGAAGCAAGGAAGTGATGGAGGCCCTGAGGAGGATGACTCACAGAATTTTCTTTGCAAAAATGTAAACAAGTTGCCTACTTGAGTCCAGGACTTAGGTACAAGTATACCCAGCACTGGCCTTCTCCAGTTAAATCATAAGACCTGAAATAGTCCTTAAAGAGATCAAGGATGATAAGGGGTAAAATATAGGGCGCAGTCTCAGTGAAAATTAGGAACAAAAATGTCATTCTTTAATCTTTTCACTTTTTTCTTTAATTTTATCTCTGAGATTATAATATTATTACATTTCTCCCTTACCACTCCTTCCTCCAACCCTTCCTTCTGTCCTTTTCACTTTCCTTCAAGTCCACAGCCTCTTTTTCAATAATTGTATTTGCACGCAGATGTGTATAAACACATATATAATAAATATAACCTGTTCTGTTGATACAATGTTATTTGTATCTTTATTTTCAGGGCTGATCATTTGGCATCAAACAAGAGGGTGTGCTCTTTCTTAGGCAAGGCCACCTTTCTAGCTTTCTTCTAGCTTTGCTTTCTTCACTTGCCTATGGTTTTTGTGTAAGGTTGAAGTGGTTTTTTACTTGTCAGTTTTCATGTCCCTTGGTGTTGTTATTTAGCTCATGTTTGACCACTCATATTGATGAGACTTTATGGGTGTGGCTTCTGGTATTACTAGAGGACATAAATTCACAACAAAATCTCTGACCTTCTGGATTTTACAGTCTTTCCACCCCATCTTCCACAATGTTTCTGAACCTTAGTGAGGAATATTTTATGGGTATATCCATTGGATCTAGGCTTCACAATTCTTCATTTTAGTTGGTTGTGTTTTTTTTTTTTTATAGTTCTCTCTATCAGCTACAAAGAGAAATTTCCTTGATGAGAGTGAAGACTACATGTATCTGTAGATATCAGGACAAATGTTTATAGATTGTTGTTAGATATTATGTTGGTTTAATAAGTCAGTGGTTGTAGATTCTCCTTCAATAACAGTTTCCCTCTTGTTGAGTGTGTCTTAAGTCAAATTAGAGAGCTATTAATAACCATCAAGGAAGCCACTACTACACTCTTATGGTTATAATGTCATGTGATTATTGATGTTGTTCATAGGCATCATAGCTCCTAGGACTGTTGATTGCTTCCTTTCTTTGGAAGCTTTCATAGTGTCTTTTGGTTCTATGACAGCTAGTACTCAGCTATGGTGTATTCAGGTTAGTTCCAGCTCAAGAGTTTCTGGGTCCTGTTTTGAAGTGCATTGTATCTTCAGCAATAGATACTTAACTTCCATGCCATCATTAACTATTTTGTCACTCCATGTCTGACCTCTTATTTCACTTCATTCCTGCAAGACTCATTCATGTCTCTGTGTTTCACTTTTATTGCCATGTATTATTTATTGTATGGCTTTGCCATAACATATTTACTCATTATAGGGTTAATAAATACTTCCATTTGGAGTATATTTCGTCTAAAAGTCACAATGGAGATTGTTGTCTAAATGTAATTCCATGCAATTATCCCCCCATATAAGATTTCTAAATATAAGCATTTTTAAAAACAAATTTATAACAAATAATATTTTCTAACAACAGAATGTAAAGATGGGTCTGCCACTATGAGACAATAAAGCGTATTGAAAATTTGCTATTTGTTAGTTATAGGAATATATTGATTCATCAATAAAATTTTAGTTATCATAAATGCAACTGAAATACTTTTTAGTAATTTTATTTATTATTGAATATAATGTTTTTTTCTTTTCTTTTTTTTTTCTTTCTCTTTTGGGAATCTCACATCATGAACCCCTATTGTACTCACTAACAGGCTTCTCATGTCTGCCCCTCCTCCCCCAATACCTCACCCACACAAAAAAAAAGAAATAAAAAGAAGAAAACAAACAAGACCATTTTGTGTAGTCCACATATTCATTAGAACATGGTTGAATTCTTTTTATTTTATTTTTTAATTTTAATTTTTTATTAATTACAGTCTATTCAGTTTGTATACCCTCTGTAGCTACCTCCCTCCTCTCCTCCCAATCCCACCCTCCTTCCCCCTTCTTTATTCATTCACCACTCCCAGTCCACTGATAGGGGAGGTCTTCCTTCCCTTCCGTCTGATCCTAGCCTGAGAGGGGAGCAGCCTTACCAGGCCACAGAGGAAGACAATGCAGTTACTCCTCATGGTTGAATTCTTAATGGCCAACCACCCAATGGAGGATGAGTCTTTCTCCACCTGCATCTGCCCCAGAAGCCATTAGCTGGTCAGATCCAGGCAGTGGCCAGAGAGGAGCAGGACCAGGTCTCCCATGCCCATTCCACCACCTACACTGCAGTGCTGTGGGCCAGTGAGGGGTGGGGGCAACTCTCCTGAGACTGTGGACATTAGCAAGTCTTCAGGTGGCAACCCTACTACAGCATTGATATGGCTTTGGTGGTAACACAAGTGCAGACATCAACGCAGCCCTTAGCCATATCAGGGCCTTTGACCCACTCATGACCTTCAGAGGATCCAGCAACCACAAGCCTCAATATGTTCTCAGGTGATTTCACATGTTACCCATGCCAGCGTTGCTTTCCAAGGCAGCAAATCCGAAGGCTATCACCGGGGAATCAGACAGTGGCACAGACTGCAAATGTCCACTTTGTCTGGGGTGGCAGCATGGCCCGTTGGCACCAACATGGGTTCTGGTATTGTGAACCACAGTTGTCCTTCAAGAAGACCCAATCAAAAAGTGAAACTTTCCTCATCTTAGGCCTAAGTTGTTGCCCAGAGCTAGGGCGATCCCTCAGCCCAGCAGCAGATTCTGGGCCTGAGTTTGTGTCTGCCTAAGTTCCGGACAGCAGAGCTTATGTTGTAAACCATCCCACCGACCTCACTGGGCAATGACTGCAAGTGGACCTCAGTTCTCTCTCTCACTTGTCTCCACCAGTCTCCAGTTTTGCCTCTCTTTCTCGTGCATGCACTATTCAGTTTTTCTTTTTCCCATGTCTCCATCACATATTTTGTTGTTGTGGTGGTGGTGGTGCTGGTCTGCCCAGGGCCATGGTGCCAGGGTAGCACTTCGGTGTTTTATGGCTGGCCACAGGTTGTGGGACCCCTGAAAACAGTTATTTTCATGAACTATATTCTGATCACAGTTATTTTCTTCCCCATCTCCTTCCACATTCCCCTTCCTATTCATCCTTCCAACTCCATTTATTCTCTTTATCTTAAGAAAACAATCAGGCAAATAAAAAGACAGAGAAGAATAAAACAAAATGAACAAAAAAAAGAAAAATCACAAGAAATGTACACACACACACTCACACACACACACACACACACACTCATAAAACCTCAAAAATGAGAAATCATAATATAAAAGCAAAAGATGCCCAAGGATAAAAAAAGAAAAGAGAAAGCCTAGACAAAGCAATATAAAGCAAGCAAACAAAAATCCCCAGAAATACCTTTGGGTTTATTTTGTACTGGCTATCTACTGCTGGGTGTGGAGTCTACCCTTAAGTGTGCTTTGCATCCCCAGGGAGAATCTCTTGGGGAAACTAATTTTTACTTTGTGAGCAGTTGTTAATTGAAGATGGCTTCTTGGTTAGGGATGGGGTTGTGTCTATTTCCCTATCTCAGCACTGGGACCCTATCTGGTTTGAATTGTGCAGGCTTAATGCATGATGCCACAGCCACTATGAGTTCATATATTCATCAGTCCTGTTGTGTCTGGAAGAGAGTTTTCTTGGTACCATCCATCCTCTCTGGCTCTTACAGCCTTTTCACCTCCTCTTTCCCAAAGTTCTCTGAGCTTGAGGGAGAGGAATTTGATGAGCACATTCCATTAAAGATGGAATGTTCCAAAGTCTCTCACTCTCCGCGTGTTGTCAAGTTGTGGGTCTCTGTATTAGTTATTATCTACTGCAGGAGAAAGATTTGATGATGGATGATTTAGGATTCATTTTATTGCTACACTTCTTTAGCAGAAAAATAGTGTATGGTTTTCCTCTAGGCATTTCTAGTGTCAGATTCTTGGCCATTTGAGCAGTGTCAATGGAGCATGCGCTCCATTTCATAGAGTCGCATATCATGTAAGCAGGTTGTTGTATATCAAAAGGTTTGTAGCTGGGTTGGTGTTTTTTCTCAGGCAGTGTACCAGATACCTTCCAGTACCATAAGCAGTAGTCAGTATAGATGAAGGCTCCAGTTAGGGACCAACTCAAATTTTCCATGTTCAATGAGATATGTAGTGTTGTTCTCAGCAACAATAGGCTCTATCCCCATCATATAGAACAACCATTGGCTTTAGAACTAGCCTGAGTTCTTTGGAGGTTTCCATGGGGGCTCATTTAGCCAATGACTTGACTCAATTAGATGTAACTGATTCCTGGCCCTGGAAATTGCATTTGGAGAAGAAAAATGTCTAATTGGGGCTTTGTCTCCATGCTATTTGGTGATTCCATTTAATTTTTTTTCACATATGCATATATATTAAGAAGCTTCTACTGTATTGGGTTTCCATCTCACTTTTTACTTAATCCTTCCATTTCATTTACTTCTCTATTTCTATCTATTTTTCTACTTTATTTCCCTTCTTTTGGGAGATCCTTCTCTTTTCCTTACTTCCTTACTTTGTGCTTAGCCTCTATGGTTATTCAGATAGTAATGTGTACAGAAGGCTTAAAGCCTAACATCCACAATTAGGGAATACAAATCTTTAAAGCAGTCTGTATTTCATGTTGTGGTAATCACTATGTGTTTTTATCTTTTTTTTATACACACATTTGAAACTTAGCATATTTCTAATATATATCATTTTATATGGTATAACTCCAGTGTAAATTGTGCTTATTTAATATTTTCAATAAATATTATTACAATCTAGAGATGCTTGGAAATAATAAAGTTTGGAATGGAGAGATAGCTCAGCAGCTAAGAGCGCTTGTTGCTATTTTAGCAGACCTGAGTTTTATTTGCAGCAACTACATGATGGACCATGTGTGAACCAGTCCCAGGTATCTGATATCTTCTTCTGGTACATGAGGGCATTGCATGAGTGTCATCCACAGATATA